CCCCTTTTGCTGAACTTCTGGTTACTTCTTTTCCGGTACTTCTTTCTAGTACTTTCCTTGTTTCAGGCCTTACGAAGAACACTGGTAGATTACTGGCCCGTTGTACCGGATCCAGTTGTTGGGGACTCTCGACGAATCTAGTCCATTACTCGATCTGTTGTAAGTGTTTTCAGGTCTATTTTTGAGATTTGTGAGTTGGTAGTAGGATTTTAGGACTGAACTTACTCGTACGGTCTGATAACTGTTTCGTCGTTGTAGTAGTATGTATAGTGTTACTATAGCAGTCTTTTCTATCTGAGACCAGGTGACTTGCCCCTGATGATGGCTGGTAGGCGACCAGCCGAAACGCGTCGTCGGGCACACGCCGTTTGGACGTGATGTTCTCCATGCTTATTTCATATTTTCGCGCCATAACCTGCGCTCGGATTTGCGTACTTCTATCTTCGTTGTTCCACTTCTGTCTCTTTGTTATTGTCCTTTTTGTCTATTTCTAATCGTTCGATTGTTTTGCGTTTCCGCTCTGTGTTCACACAATATGTTTGTGCAATACCCTGTGCTTTTCCATGCATCTACGCACGCAATAACCGGTATATCCTTTTACTATGCTTGGGTGATTGCGCCCCCACCATCGCCTTCTTATGGGTTTTTTTACTATTCGTTTTTTTTTGTTTTTGTTTTTGTTTTTGTTTTTTTTGCTTTTTGACTTTGCCTTTTGTTTGCTTCCCATTAGTTGAGCGATTTACCTTCGACTCTGTTATCTCTATGTTTATGCCTCCCACCCTTTGTTGACTCCTATCGTATTTACTTCTTTACTCTACTTTTCTATGTTTTGTTGTTCTCTTTGGTTTCGAGATGAATTAGGGCGGCCCCCGGGTTGTATGCCACCACTGTGGACAACCCGGGCACTTTATTAGGGATTGCCAGTTGAGGCAAATTCCGAATGCAGCAGCTCTTCTAGGCAGTGTTCAAGGAGGATCCGGAGGAGATCCCAATCGTGCTTCCTCATCGCAAGACAATGGAGGTTTGTTGCCGGCACCGAATGCAGGTGCTATTGTTCCTTATCAAGGACCAAGGAATTATAACAACCAGCAGGATAACAGACAGTATACCAACTATCAAGGGAATGGTGGCTACAACCGAGGAGGATACCAACCGAGGAACAGAAACAACGGTTGGGTCGACCACACAGAAAGGGACCATAATGACAAGCTCGACAAGGTCTGGGGTTGGTTCTCGGATAAGATGGCGACCAAGGAGAGGGAGAAGCGAGAAAAAGAGAAGGCGATGAGAGAGGAGAAAGAAAGGAAGAAAGTGCAGCTTGCGGAAGAAGAGAAAGCTAAGGCTAAACTTGAACGTGAAGAATTTGAGAAGAAATTGGGGAGCGTTGTTAAGAGTAACATGAAAGAAGTTTGTGAGGAAGTACTAGGTAAGAAAGCTTCGACGAGTACTGAGGCAGTGACTAGTGCTGGTGAGGAGATTAGAAGAAAGGAGCAGGAAAGCAGATGGAGGAGTGAAGATGCAGCGACACAGGAAGAAAGGATGAAGCACACTGAGAAGGAACTCGAAACTCTCAGGAAGGAGAATGAAAAACTGCAGTCACTGGTACGAGACAAAGGTAGTGGGGAACTCCATACACTGATCAAGGATAATCAAGCGCTGGTTTATGACATGCTAGCTCTACGTGATGAAGTGGAGAGCCTCAAGCGTGGTAGTAAACGCGGTGCAGAGGTGGTTACTGAGAGAAGTCCACCTGCTGAGCCGGTACGAGGCAAGCCAAAGTCGTCCGCGGATGGGCAGACGCCTGCAGAATGGGCCAAGATGGTCGAAGCGTACAAACGATTGCGAGATGATAAGGACATGGCCAAAAGGGAGGTGTCGGCCTTGAAGCAGCGTATCAACAGGATAAAGATTACTTCACCAGGCAGCTCCAGGAAGAAGCTGTTCACTAAGAGATGACGCAGCAGTAGCCCTGTAGCGGCTTCGCAAGCACCCGGTGTCTCCAATGAGCAAGTGCGAGTGACTTTTGTGCGGAAAGTGGGTGAGGAACAAGATGTTTTCCTCAAACGTGTCTGTAACGATTTGGGCAAGCTTCGTAAAATGCAGCTGGAGACGCTATGCAAAGACGAGCAGATCGACTACGTCGGTATCAAGAAGACGGCCAGTGAACTCGCCTGGATCTACACGGCTAGGGTTTTCGGCAATTCCCTGAAGAAGCGATCTCTCAGTGATGATGATGATGCTCTTGAAGATGACGACACCTCTGTGGACATCGCTGCCGCACCAACGGAGGACCAGACCACCTCCGATACCTCGTAGGCCCAGTCCCGAGCGTTGGTTGTATCTATTCCTCTGCTCTTATTCTTCGTGATTTTCGACATTCTCGATCGATTCTAAGCAACGCCATCTTCGATAATTTGTTCCGTTGGTATGTACTATGCTTAATTTTTTCCTCCTCTATCCCATGGGCTAACAAATTTATTCCGCATATCTCTAATCTCCTATTCACTGGTTATGATTTCATTTCTTGTCCTGGACCTGCTGTATATGTGCTAATCTCACCCTGGTCTAAGCATACGTATGTAGGCTGTACTACTCGTTCAGTGTCTTGTAGATGGAAGGAACACCTTTATAGGACTTTCTCCCCGAACCAATCTTCTAATGTGAGGAACCACCGACTGTATCGATGGCTACGAAGGCAGGGTGTTGAAGGGTATGTGGCTATACCTATAGCCAACCCTAGTAAGGACAACCTACTCACTGTAAAGAGTTACTTCATTAGGATCTTTAATCCTTTTCTTAATTCTTGTACTCGCCAGGAGTCTCGAACATGCAAGGGTAAGTGTCGTCCAGGTAAGAAGGAACGCAGAAAAAACTCCCTCGTTAATCATGATGCACCTTGTACTTCCAAGTCGCTTGTCTTGTTTCGTTCGTCTTCTTGAATCTGCTCTAATTCCCTCGTCAAAATCTTGGACTATGCTTTCCATGCCCATTTACTTACTTTCGACATTAGCTGTGAAGGTGGTGACGCCTGGTGCAACCAATGGAAAACTGTGAAGAGGATTTATGGATCCACGATTGTTCGATCTGATGCTGGGACGAGCCTACTTCGGAACGCTCGCCCTTGGTTACAAGATGGAGGTCATGTTACTATCGTGAATGTATCCCATTTTGTTCTCGTTTTGAAAGTTTGAAGAAATCCCTTGTTCCGTACTTGTCTTCACCAGGCTCATACAAAGGACTATATTCCAAAAGCTTTGATCAGTTGTTAAGCATGTACAGTGCTATCCATAGTTTTTCCAGGAAAGAGAGTCGTACTACTCTCCGTGTTGTGTTGGCAAGAGTACTGAGGGTGAAATTCAACTTCAATGTTAGGGTCAAACCGGTGATACGTGTTCCGTTCGATCATCGGTTATCAAAAGGTAAGCTTCGGGAGGCTTGTGTTCTTGCTGTTCGATCATCCTCTATTCGTTCCCCGTTAAAAGATATCATTTGCAGGCGCCTTAAAATCGTATTTACCAAGAATAAATCCGTAGGTGATCACATTCATAATTTTAGAGCATCTAGCCAATCTGTTATGCTAACCTGTAGCTGTAATTCTTTATCTTTCCCTCGCAATTCGAACAACCACGTTTCCTTTCGTTTCTCTTCTTGCGATTTAGATATCTCCACTTTTCTAAAGAACTCCCGCAACATCCCCTACTCGAACCTTCGCCGTAATATCCAATCCCTGCATAAGATCGTCACCATTACTCTATGCTCTGTTCAATCTGACACTTCCATCTTTTCTATTTTTGTCAACGACCTACGTCAATGCTTTTCTGATAAAGACTCCGCTTATGCATCTGTCACCGAGGAGGTTCGGACATGGGAGGACCGATTGTCCAAGCTGGTGGTCTGCCCCTTGGACCATAACATTGGTGATTCGTTCGTGTGTTGCCCTGCTGTGTACAAGGCAGGTCTGGATTCGTTGTTTTTCACCGGTAAAGGTTTCGAGGAACTCATCGTATCGAAATCAGTGGTTATCAACCAAGTGAAGACTAAATATTTTGCCCAGAAACTCCAGAAGTCGGCACAATGGGACTACAAGTGTAAACTTGGCCGTGCTTATGGGCTTTCTAAGCACAAGGATGTTAGTAGATGGCGACCTATCTGTCCCTCATGCACTGACCCCCTAGCTAGACTCAGTAGGATTATCTCTAAAGCTTTTAATCATCTCACTTGGTCACTCCCCACCAACAGTAACTTCAATCTGAAATGCCCCAATGATCTTCTCTCTCGCCTGCGACATCTGAATTCCTCTATTGGCCCGCATGATGATATCTTGGCTGCTAGCTATGATGTAAAAGAAATGTTTTCTAACCAACCTCATTCTTCGATTATCTCTGCCGTAGAATGAATTGTGTCTGTCTATGAAGAAAAAGGGTTTGACTCTGTTCTCATTAGGAAACGCAGTAAAACGGTGAAGTTGACCCTCTCTCGTTCCACTCCATTAGGATGGACCAGTGTGAAACTTTCCAAATTGATAGATTTTGTTGTTTTTTATGTGTCTAATACTTTCACTATGTGTATGAATAAGGTGTTGAGGCAAGTTGTCGGTATTCCAATGGGCAAGCCTGCCAGCCCTCCACTAGCTTGCTTGATGTGTGTGCATAATGAGTTTGTATTTTTGAATTCGCTAGGTGGTCGTAGCTCTAGATTCTTTGGTATCCGACTTGTTGATGATGTACCGATATTCTGTGCATTCGATTCCCGCTCTCTGTTGGCCAAACTTGATGCGAGTACTGCTCTGCAATCTTTTCAGAGTTGTTACGATAGTAAGTTGATACTGGAAAAAACTAGTGAGGATGATGCTTGGGATTATTTTGGTTGTGTACTAAAGTTGTTCCACGAACCCGTGAAGGTACTCTTCGCTATCACCCACAAAAATAAACGTGACATTTTGGGTCGTGGCATCATTTTTTAAAGTCTTCAGAATTTTGACTCTTATTCATCCAAATAGTAGAAGTTGGCAGTTATTAGTTCCTTTTTGCACCGTGCTCGTAGTCTTAATAGTATGCCTGACGGTGAAGCTTGCTTTCTCCTTACGTTGAAAGCTGAATTATGAGTGCGAGGTTTTCCTCATCCTTACTTTGACCAGACATTGGAACGTTTCTCTAGGAAGTTTAATAACGTCTGGAAGAAATGGGTTTTCTGCTTTACCAATTGGAAACATGGCTAGTAGATTTTGCAGGCAATTTCGTCAAACGAGTCTTGTTCTCTC